GCATGTGGTGCTGGGGGATTGAACCGCGGTCCCCAATGCTTTGCCAAGCTTGTTCTAAGTAGGTGCTTTAGACCACTGAGCCATCTCTCCAGCCCCATTAACACTTCTTAATACCATTTTTAATCCTGCATCCCTCCCTCTCTCCCCACTAATTCTATTAACTTTCTTTTATTCCTTAATCAGATTTTAAACTCACTTTTATATGCCTCCTTTTCATCTTTTTCTTCCTTTTCAAATTTTACTTTGTTCATTTTTTCCTTCCCCTCTATCTCCATTTTTATTTTTATTACTATTAAGCTTCTTTAATTTTTAGCTATTTAGTTGACTGTATGCTATTATGAAATTATTTCCTATTGTTAATGGTGGTATAGTTGTTGCTTTATTTATTTATTTATTTATTTATTTACTTGCAGTACCAGGGATTGAACTCAGGACCCTGTGCTTGCTAGGCAAGCACTTATTCTACTGAGCTATCTCCCCGGCCTTTGTTGCTTGTAATAGATATTTACTGTATGTCAATATTTGGCTTGTCTTTGTGTCTGCATTATTGAAGATATTTTTTCTATTGTTAAAGATGGTATGGTGGTAGCTATTAATTCTTCTTATGATATATCAACAACTGATTTGTCTTTGTCTCTATTATTGCTGATTTCTCTTTAATTGTTAATAGTGGCATTGCTTTTAATTGGCTTCCACTGTATGCCAGTATCTCATTTTTCTTTGTGTCTTCAACATTACTGTGGTTCATTTTCTTCTCCCTGAGTAGTGTGGATATCAACCCCCAGAAGAAGGTTAGGCACTAAGAAAACCCTCAAATATTATGCTAAATAAGTCGAAGGGGGTTATAGAAACCACATAACCAAGTCCAAGGACATATTACAGGGAGGCATAATCTAACTAAAGAGATTGCTGCAGCAGGGGCAACCTACAACACAAAAACAATAGAAAGATGAGAAAGCAAGGCAACAAAATGTTCTCAAAATCCTTAGTCTTAAACAGCTGATCTCATAGACACAGAAGTAAAGAAAGACATAGACAGAGAACTCAAATGATCACAATGTTTGAAAAGCTAAAAGAAGAAACATAGAAACATGTATATAATGTTTAATGACTTCAGATAAAAGATTTTATGAATATCATGTTTGATGAGTTTAAAGAAGAAATGAACAATAAACTAACTGAGTTAAGCAAGTCACTACAAGATATGAATGACCACTTCAGAAAAATTCAGTGGATTTAACCAATGTGGTGAGGACAGTGTCAGAAACAGAAGACAAGGTGCGTAGAGTAGGTAAGAAAACTGTGATGCCCCAAAAATGACAAGATATCATTCAAGCTAGATCCAGCAGTTGCTAGATGACTCAAAAATTTTAAAAAGCCCTGAGAAGTATAGGAACAAATGAGAAATTAGAAGGTGATTCCAAAGGTATAAAAATGTATTCACTGGAATCATAGGAGAAATTTTTTCAAATCCAGGAAAAGAATTAAATACCTAAATACCAAAGCCATATAGGTGTAAAATAGCTATAATCAGAAAGGAAACTCTCCATACCACATCATAATCAAAATTCCAGAAATTCAACCAAAGGAGCAAAGGCTAAAAGCTGTTAGAGAAAAGCAAAAGTTAATGTAGAAAGGCAATCCTGTCAGAACAACTGCACGTTTCTCAACACAGACCTTGAAGCCCCAGAGAGTGTGGGGTGAACTTTGTTGTGCCCTGAAAGAAAACAATTGTTGACTCAGATTTTTATATCCTGCAAAATAGCCTTGAAAATAAACAAGTGCAGACTTTCCATAACAAAGAAATCCTAAAGAAATGCATGACTACTAAACCATATTGCAAAAAGCACATGAGGGAATCCTAAACAGAAACGGGAGGCCACCAGCAACAAAGAGCTCAAAGGAAATGAGTTCTCTGTCTGATTAGGAGAGTAAAGAAAAAAGAGAAAGGATCAGCAGTAGAAAAATAATGCAATGACAATATTCAGTCAACACCTTACAGTGGAAACTCTTGATGTCAATGGTCTCAACTTCCTAATCAAAGACACAGATTGGCAAATTGGGAAAAAAAAAAAAAAAAAGCAATCCCATATTGCCTCAGGATACATACCTCATCCAAACCTCATGACTGGAAATGAAAGAATGGAAAGAGACTCCATTTAACCAGAGCCTGAAAACAAGCACGAGTAGCTATCTTATTATTAGACACAACAGACTTCGAGCTGAAGTTGACCAGAAGAGACAGAGATGCTGGCTTGGACTGGTAAAGGGAACAGTTGAACAAGAAAAAATGACATAGGTAAACATCTATGAATTGAATGTTAGAGCACTCACCTCCATAAAACAAAACCACTATACTTAAAAAGGACAAATAGACAGCGATACAATCATTATGCAGAACTTCAGTACCTCACTCTCACTTTAGTTTAGCCAGCCAAAAATAGCAAACATCAAAGTCAAACCACATCACTGAAAAAATGGACTTAACTGATATCTCTGGAATGTTTTGTCTATCAACATGAGATACATTTTCTGAAGAGCACATGGAACTTTTTCAGAATGGACCATCTAAAGACAGATAATATGCTTCAATAAATATAAAAGAATTGAAATAATCCCTTGTATACTAACAGATCTTAGTGGAATGAGGCTAGAAAACAACAGCTAAAAAATGCAAACACATGAAAAATAAATAATACATTATTGAATAAAAACAATAGATCACAGAAAAAATCTGGGAACAATTTAAAAATTTGTAGTCTCAAATTACATTGGAAGTGTAACATATCAAAATCTATGGAACTAGTGAAAATAATTCTATGAGGGAAGATCATACAGTAGCTGTAATTGTATGCATGAAAAGAATGGAGAGGAACCAAATAAATAATTTAATTATAAATCTCAAGATGTACAAAGATAAGAATAATCCAAATCTAAAATTAATAAAAGGAAAGAAACTCTAAAGATCAACGTGGAAATTAATGAAATTGAGACTAAAAAACAACAAAAAGGGTCAATGAATTGAAGAGTTGCTTCTTTGAAAGGATGGGAAGGGCACCTGGGATAGGAGACATGAGCGAGGGGAGGGAGGCAAAAAGGACCACGGTGTGCTATATGCATATGTATGCACAAGTTCTCACACCACTGGGAGTAGTACTGGAACATGAAGCACTTACCATGTATTGCCAACACATGCTCATAAAAAATTGAAAAAGAGGGCCAGCCAAATAGCTTAGTGGATTAAAGCGCCTGCAAGCAGGTGCAGGGGCCTGGGTTCAATCCCCAGGCCTGCTGTGCCGGCCCCACCTCAGGGGCATGCTGAGATGGCCATTGAGACTGGGCTTGGTGGCGTGCGCCTATAAACCCAACTGTTGGGAGGCTGTAAATAGGCGGATCACTACAAGTCCAATCTAGTAGTGAGAACCTGAACACCCTGTAGACACTTCCCTAAAATACAGAAAAAAAAAAAAAAAAAGCAGGGTGGATCAGTGAGAAACTCTTGAAAGTAAATAGTATTTAAATTGGAGAAGGGAGGCATATTTGTGAGTTACTACAGGAAACCAAAGTAAATATTGGAAATTGTTGGTCTCAGTAATGCAACTGAAGACAACAGGGATGTAGTAATCTTGACAAACAACAACAACAACAACAACAACAACAACAACAACACCCACCTGAATCGGAGGCAAGAATAAAGTACAGCTGGAAGAGAACTGAAAATGTGCTGTTACTTTCATGAGGACAAATGCATCCACCGCTCTGGAAAAGGGCCAGTCTCTTTCTCAAGGGGACGATTCTCTCCCTTCATATGCCCAGAATGTCAAAGCCTAAGTACACAGATCCCAGCCTTGTGGGTGGTGGCAGGACAAAAGAGCCCAGGTTCAGGAAGCCAGGAGAAATCCAGGAAGCGACAGACATGTTGGTTACCTAGAGGGAGCTAGTTGCTCTTGCTTCAGCTTCCCAGGCTGCACTCTAAGGCACCGGAGAGCCGTGGCTATGAAACTGCAAAAAGAAGTAGTCTTTCTTTTTTAGACTGAAGATTTCTTCTCGAGAGAAGATCCATTTTCCTGCTCACTTGGGACCTGCCGCGTGGCCCGGGGCCCCTGCTGTGCTGCCCCAAGCCACTGCGCCCACACCACTGATCAGTGCCAGTCTCTCCATCTCTCTGCTCTCAGCCACTGTCTGCAAACGCACCCATGGCAAAGAAGCTGCGCCTGTACTGATTGAAACACCTTTCAGGTTGGTCAAAGATGACAAAGATCATTTGTATTTTCCTCCTTTCTAAACCAATGCATTCTTCTCAAAGACATATAACTTAGGAAATCATTCTAAACATCTTTTCTGTAACCAATCGCTAAAACCTTTCTTAGCAGAGAGAGCACAGGGAAAGTGTGGGTCCCTAGCAGAACTTTGCAGCCTGCAGGAATCATGCAAATGAAAACCTTCTTGGAGACACTAAGAAGTCTGAGAGTTTTAGCTCTAAATAAAAGTGCCTTGTGATCATAAAGTCATAGCTTTGTTTCACTTGAACATTCACAGATGAAAATATAAAGGTTTCAAGAGTAGTAGTTTATCTAGTGTGTCAGAGATAGAGTCAGAGTTAGAACCTGTGTCTCTGGTAACAAAAGTGAGTGGTGTGGAGGCATACCTGGACAGCTCTCCTTGAAAGAAGAGCAAGTGTCTCCATTTTGGCTGAGCCTGACCTTATTTCCTTGTATAGATATGTACAGAGCTGGCTAGGACTTCTCTTCATCCTTTAAATTGGCCTTAAGCAATGTATATTAGTCTAGCCAAGGTGTTGATGGTAGTCTTTGAAGATGGTTTCCCTGGTAACCCACACCTGCTGCTCTTTACTGTGAGCCAGGTCAAGACAGGACAAAGATCTGATGCTCTGCACTGCCAGCTGGGATCGAGCCTCGAGACAAAGGCTAGGACTTCCTGGGGCTTGAAGGTTTATATCAGAGCTGAAGCACCAGACCCCCAAAACATTAGATACTATTTCAATAGCATAATGCAAATTACTTTCTCTGCAGATCCTGTCTGCATATGGCAGAGGTAAATGTAGGTCACCTATCTAGTTCAGCTCACAGTACTCACCTACAATTCTCAGGCATTCCTCCTTGAGCCACTCCTCCTCCACTGAATAAAAGCCAGGTATGGCCCTGGGTCAGCCTCTTTGTTCTGGAAAGCCATCTTCATAGCTAGCCCCTTGGCTCCCCAATAATTATAAATATGTTTTAGTGTCTTTACTTTTACCATGGCTTACACTAGGAGTGGTAGATTGAAATGAACTTGATGGGATTCCAATAACATAACTTTGGGATTACAAATATTGACTTCTTGGGCCAAGAGGAGAGCCTGGAAGGGACTCCTACGCTGGGGGGTGCATTGCTCACATAATGCTATAGTTTATTGAGCATTCACTAAATGCCAAGCTCTAGCTAGACTCTGAGGACACAACAAAGAAGTAAAACAATTCCAGGTCATAGTATTTATGTTTTAGGTCATACTTAGAACAGTTCATTAGACATTCACTTAACTGCAAGTGTGTTAAGTGACAAGCAAAAAAGTTCAAGAAGTGAGCTTTCAGTAGGGAAAGGAACCAAGAGGATTCTCTGAAGGCAAGAGACTTGAACAGAGCAGGGAATTAAAAGAAAAGTGATCCAAATGAAAAAGAGAATAGTGGGAGTGCAGACAACTGGGTGGTTGTAACATTATTCAAGAGGAAATATTTTTACAGTGCTGCTGGGGTTCCTGGAAGTGTGCCCAGTGTGACGGGGATTTTGCATTTTGGCACTATCTCCCTTCTTGCTTCTGCTCTGTAGGTGGAATCTATCCTGTTCCCAGAGTTGCAAGGATATAACCTGACCCTTGGAACTGTTAACATGAATGAGAAACTCGTTGCTGATTTTGTGGATGAAACATTTGAGGTATTTCAGAAAAATCAAGTTGGCCCCCACAAGTAAGTTGGTTTAGTTCTAACTTGATTACTTAGCCTTTTGGTATTGATTTTTTTTCTGTTTTTGAGTTGAGATCTTGCTATCATGCCCAGATTAAACTCAAAGGAGCAGGTTCAAGTGACCTTTCTACTTCAGCCTCTGCATGCTGGGACCACAGGTGTGTTCCACCACACTCAGCCTGGAATTGGTTTTTAACTATCATCAAATAAGTAGCCTCAATTATGAAAAAAAAAGTAGTCTCTGTCCTTACACTCCTAAAACATATACATAATAAAGAATAACCAATATTTGCATGGCTATTGCCATTTGTTCCTATTGTACAGATGAAGAGACTGTAATTGTCCTAATGTTATAATGCAAATAAATAGGAGATCCAGAAATCAAATTCAATTAGAGGTTCATCTCCATTATCTGAAAGCTGTGAGATCAGATAGACTTCAGCAGCAGTTTCTGGATTTCAGAAAAGTCATGTAATGCATCTAGCATACACTGTGCTATAGCTTCTGTGAGGCCTGGAGCAGCCTCTTCACGTTTCTGCTGTGAAATCCAGAAACATTGACATCAGTAGCCTCCTCAGCTTATGCTAGCTTTCTCCACCAAGTGAATTTTGATGCAAATTTGTTTCTTCAGAGCTTTTGGAATTTGGAATGAAAGAAATGGGCTCAAGGACAGTCATCTGATTCCATAGGTCAAGCCCACGCCACAGCACACTGTAGAATTCCTTGCAGCTGCTCATATGAACAGTCATTAGTTTTAGGGTGATTGTATGTGTAGTTTCCAAACTAAGACTTTTTAAGAATGAAAGTATTGTAGTGTCCAGGGTGTGACAAGCACAAACTGTAATTGTCCCCCAAAATTGGACATTTGGTGATCTTAACCCAATGTTTCCAGAGTGCTCCGTTAGCATTTTCAATGAGAAAATTCTATATTTGGAGGGCTGTCCTTCATGTGATTAGATGTTTAGCAATGTCCCTTGCCACTACCCACTGTGTGCTGGTAGGAGCCCCCTAATTGTAACAACTGATACTGTCTCCAAATATTACCACATACCCCTGCAAGCTGCAATCACTCCAGGTCGAGAACAACTGCTAATCCTAAGTGAGGCTTCTGATTTGGAAGCTCTGTGCTCATGAATATGACGTGGTGACTTCATTTGGAAACTCCTGTTTTTTCTGTTTGTGGAGTCTTATACACTCACTTTGTCTTTCTGGACTAGAAATTATATAAGCTTGTATCTGTATCTCAATTTAAATGTCTCTGCTCTTTTTGCCAACACTTGGAAGTATACGTCCAGGCCCCACCAAGTTGATTCTACCTACTCAGTATCAGTTTTATTTTAATTTAAACTTAAGTGAAGTCAGACTCATCCTAAATTAATCCTCTTATTTTGGGGCAATCTGTTCAGTTGTTTTTACATGACCTGAAAGCAGAGAAACTTAATTTAATATGCTTTAAGTTAATTTCAAATTTTCATCTTAAAAAATCAGACAGAAGTTTTTACCTGGAAAGGAGGGTGAGAACTAATATTTACTGTACATTCCTTGTAAGCCAACATAGTAATATATATATATATGTATATATATATATATAACTTATAACAATCCTATAACATATCAATGATTATTTTTACTTAAAATTGAAAACACTGATTTTTTGAGATAGTAAAATAGCTTTGTCTAAGTTTGTAGATAAGGAAGTGGCAAAATTGGAGTGGGAACCCAAACTTCTGAATTCTTAGTTCAGTGCACCTTTGAATTGTATTTCTCTTTCCACATTTGAGTTATTTTTTATGCGGTTAACTATTTCAACTGTCAGTCTGACTTGTCTGATTTGTTGACCTGTGTTTGTGTGTTTGATTTCATGTTCTTTGGTATGGAAGATACTTAAATGTATACAAAAAGTATGATGACTTACTGGATAACACAGCAGAGCAAAGCATCACAGCATTCCTGAAAGAAAATCATGAAATTGAAGATTTTGTGATGGTAGGTGTCTTGGTTGGTTTTCTCTTGTTGCTGAGACAAAATACCCAACACCAAAATTAAGGAAAGGAAAGGAAAGGTTTATTTAGCTCACAGTGTGTGGAGCTTTCAGTCCATACTTGGCTGGCTCCAAGGCAGGGTGGCAAAGGGCAGCAGTTCATGTGGCGGAAACCAGAGAAACAGCAAGAACAAAAGGGAGCAGCACAGCACAGCAGCAGCAGCGGCAGCGGCAGAGGCAAGCCTCTCTCCCTTCCTTATACTACATTCAGGCTATCTGCCGCAGGGTGAGTGTAGCACTCTCATACATAAACCCAAATTTGGATTAGGAATTAATCATGAACTCTAGAAGTGCACCGCAGTGACTGCATGAGGCTTTGGGGGACAACTAAACACAAACCAAAGCAGTGAGAGATGCCACTTGATATTGCAAACCTTGGTGGGATGTGCTGTAGTCAGCCCAACGATTAGTCAGTTTGTTTCCATGTTGCGCTAGTGTTGGCTTGGGATGAGCCTCAGGGTAGAGGCTCAAAGGCAAACTAAGTTATTAAATGTGCTTCTTTTTACAGAGGATCAATAGCATAAAAAAGCGGAGAAGTGAAATTGCATCCATGCACATTACCGTGCCCTTGGCCATGTTCTGTCTGGATGCCATGATTCTGAATTACGAACTCTGTGAGCGAGCACAAAACCTTAAGGACCGTTTGATTCAGCACCAAGTGGATGTAAACCGCAACACCAATACCAGGTACTTCAGCTGTGCTGGTGGCAATGACGTTGACACCAACCAAAGAGTGGAAAAGTGGCCACCATGCGCGCCTCCCTGCAATGGCCAGACTGAACCTGGAGTTGAAGGTTTTCTGCCCCAGGGTGAGGGGGATAGGGAGCTCAGGTTCAGGCCAGGAGGTGACCAGTCCAAAGGAAATCATGCAGGGATTGGGGCAGGTTGAGGGCACCCTTTGGCAACTTTCTCGGCTCCTGTGATCTTTGCTTCCTTCCTTCCTCCTCCCTCTGCTTCCCTCTCTGCTCCTCTCCCCCACTCCTTCCATTCTTTTCTCCCTTCTTCCTTCTTTCCTTGCTTCTTTCTCTTCCATCCCTCCTTCTTCTGTGCTTGCTTGTTTGCTCTCTTCCTTCCCTTCTTCTGAGGATTAAACCCAGGGTCTTCACACTAACTACATCATCATCTTATTTTATTTTATTTTATTTTTAAGAAATTAACTTGCCCAAGCTGGACTGGAACTGGGGATCCTTTTCTTTCACCCTCCCAGAATTCTTGAATTACAGACATTGCCACCATGCCCAACTAATTCTTTTTCTTAAACCATAGTTAATTTATTCCTGTCAAAGCAAAGCAGCATTGTGCCTTAGTTGGCCAGTGTATCTATCCTTATCAAAATAAATGAATAATTTCTCTAAGTCTCCTAATATAAAGTATGGGTCTCATTATGCACTGAGGGACCTCCAAGGGTGCAGCAACCCCAGATCAGTGGTCAAACCCCAGTTTGGTGGCTAAGTTCTGAAACCTCTTTCTGCCTTATAATAATGGTTCTCATTCACTTAACTTTCTCAGTAGCCCTATGGGGTTGGTAAGAGATATAGGAGCCTTTACTTAATGAAAGAGAAAGGGAGGCCCAGAAAGAAAAACTAACTTGATCAAATAGATGAGTTTGATTCTGTGTTGTTTGCTCCCAAGGCTGATCCTTGCCACTCACTGTCATATAATCACTGAGCAGAAACCTTTCTATTTTAATCATGAAGCACCCTAGAAAGCAGTTCTGGGAAAGAGTGTGGGTGTTGGGGTAGTGCCTTTGAGGGCATCGGCAGCAATGTGGACATGCCAATTATACCGATGCAGGGCATTTGTCGAAGTTGCCAGAACCTGAAATGACAAACAAAAATTCTAGGCCCTGAAGAATTATCCTTTGGTGTGACTGCATATTTTCTTGCTAGTGAAGTCTCATCCCAACAATGACAATGGGATTGAAAAGAGATCTTAGATCACAATGGGATTGAGAAGAGATCGTAGATTCAAGCAGGACTTACTGGTTTCCCTTTTGTGTTCTCCCCTCCCTTAGGCAGATAAAAGCCCTGTGTGTATGGGGCTTCTGGCCCTTTATATTTTAAAATGTTATCAATAGATGTAGAAGGCAGGGAGATTTTGTTTTAAGTCAGATTGCTGAGATCATTGCCCATACTCAGGGGTCTTTTGGAGGCTTTTAGCTAGTGAAGCTGTTCCTACCTACTGAATCCTTTAAGGAGCTTCTGGCCAGTGGCCAAGTGACATTTTTTCTGGGTGTCCTTGTGCAAAATGGAAGGACAGATTCAACTCAGGCAACAGGATCTGCCTTAGAGTATCCTACATTCTGTGCCAAATGGTCCTACGTGATGTGATTGAATGCAGTGGGGTTTACATATTGCACAGGGTGGTTCCAGATTGGTGGAAGAGACCTTCTTTGTGTGTTTGTCCCGTGTGTTCACATCCTAGAGTAGTGACAGTGAACCTTTTAGTGCTTTCAAAGATAATAAACAAACTGCTGCAGCCCACATGCCATAGGTTCACCATCCCTGTCCTGGACAGTTGGGAAGAGGCAGAAGCACAGAAGAGTAGGGAAGTTCTGTGTGCCTGACTCAAAAGTGACAATCATCACTGACCCCCACTTCCCACTGGCTGGAATTCAGCCTCATGGTCAGGTCTGCTGTAGACTGAATTGTGCTTCCCCAGAGTTTGTACATCAGGCCCTAACCCCCATAGGACTCTCACTCTCTACCATGTGAAGACACAGGAAGAAGGAGGCCATCTGAGAGCCGGAAGGAGCCCTGGCTCTAGAGAACCAAATTATCTTACATGTTGACCTTGGATTTCCCAGTTCCAGAACCAATAGAAAATAAAGGTCTGGTTTTTAAAATTTGTTTTGCTTTGTTTTTGTGGTACTGGAAATGCAACCCAAGGATACCCTACCACAGAGCTCTGTCCCCAGCCTTTTTATTTTTTATTTTTGGACAAGATCTTGAGAAGTTGTCCAGGCTGGGCTCATATTTGTGATTCTTCTGCTTCTGTTTCCCAGTGTGCTGAGCTTATAGGTGTGTGCCACCACGTCTGGGTAGTGTCTGTTATTTAGCTGCCAGATCTGTGGTATTTTGTTATGGCAACCTGTACTGACTAATCCAGGGGATGACTGCAAAGAGGCTAGAAACTATAGCAACCAACTGTAGAGAAGTGTAATTGTGAGTCCAATACATGGAGACTGCTCTGAGCCAATTATAGTGAAATAAGTAATTTTTCTCTACTGAAAGTTTCTGAATTATAGAAAAAAGATTCTCTAAAGTCTCAGCATCATCTTCAGAATGTTTTGATTTTTTCTCTTCTGTATAATTGTTTTATAAGGAAGGCTCTCCAAGTGTTAAAATGGAATAGTCAGGACAGGCAAAATGAGAGGAGTAGTTTTCATATATAGGGTATGACCATTAATGTGTAATGAATCAGTCATAATAGCAGAACTCAAGATTATTAACGTATGTTGGGAGCCATCTGGCATCCACTGGGATGGACGCATTGCAAATAATTTGTTTTTAGTTATAGTTAGGATGTTGAAAGCTGCCAGTTAATTTGCCTTGTGGAAATTATAGCACATTCTAATTATCCTTGTAATTTCATTTTTCACTGTCTGGTGGTGCTAGAGGATGGCAGTGAGATCTAGTGGTCCCAGGAGATGAAGATAATGTTGTCACTGTAGAACCTGGATCACACAAACTTGTTGGTTAACATTTTCAATGTAGCTCTGAATAAATTTGGAGCTCCAGTTTAACATAACAGTGTGAAGGATGGTTTTGCTGCTGGTGGTATTTCTTACTGTTTTAGTCTAAATATGGAATTTACCCATGAAAATGAGGATTAACCGTGGGAACTTTAGAGTCAGTGAACCAAAAGTCAGATCTTACTTCTGACATACCATGTGGACTTGCATAAAGTCACTCAGTCTAATTTTCTTCCATCATCAGATGTATATGATTATAATGCATCAGGCCAAACACAAGAGCCAAACACACGTCAGATGGTAACACAAACATTACTAGTGTTACGACCCCCCAGTGGTGGCATGCATGTGAACATTATCCATGAAGGATTTCCAGGTAGAGAAAAACTGGAAAATCAATCTTCTAGTCTCTAATTAGAAACCATGTCAGCTTTGCATCTACAAGAAAGTCATTGTAGATGATGATGACAGCCATTCCTTTCCTATAGCATTTGTAATCAGTACAATACCATCGCGGACAAAGTCAGTGAGATTCCTGCCAACACCGAGGAGCTGGTATCACTCATTGAATTCTTAAGGAAATCCAGCGATGTCACTGTGTTCAAACTCAGGAGGCAACTTAGAGATGCAGCAGAACGGCTGGAGTTCCTGATGGACTATGCAGACTTGCCCCGTAAGTCCAGGGCCTTATGTGCATGTGGATATGGATGTGAGGTTTATGTTTGGTCATTTATGTAGAAGTAGAAGAGTAGTCCTTATTTACTTCTAGAAATAAGGAAGTAAAGAAAGGAGGGATAGGAATTCTACCACTAAACGTCATAAATGCTGCTTTTACAGCGCCTCTATATGTTACAGACACTAACCCTTACTCCCGTTCACAGGAATTTAAAATTTTAATCCAGTGACAGGAATTTAAGCTGCACAGAGGGAATCTTGTGAAGTACAAGGAAGGAGACTTGGCCTCTGGTTTTTAGGTGCCTGTTTTGGCATTTTGTGTCTGATAAACCTGGCAAAATCACTTTCAAATGCAAAATCCTTTTTATAAATTAATAGATTTTACCTTTGCATAGTCTTAATAATTCCCATCTTTGAGCGGGCATAGGAGGGGCTGTGCTGCCCAGCCTTCTTTTTGATTTTCTTATTTGGAGACAGAGTCTCAAGAGGAAACCCTGGGCCTTTTAATTGACCAGAGCTATAATGGGTAGGACTTCGGGCAGTGACACTAGTACTGCCACACAGCCAGAGGGGAGCTGAGACTCGGTGCAACGCTACAGCGTGAAGTGCACAACCAGAACTCCAACCCGGGTCTTGGCTCTCCCTGGCTCTAGCTTGGGAAGCCAGTGGAGCAGAGCACTTATTAATTAACATAGCTTCGGAGCTGTTAGATTCAGGGTTGAATCCTGTTCTTCTGCCTTCTAGCAGTGTAACCTTGGCCACTTGGCTTAGCCACTTTTGCTTCCCATTGTAGAATGAGCATCATACTGCCTGCCTTCTACCACGGCCCCTCCTAAGCACTTAATAAGTGTTGGCCTCATTCATCCACAGTGGGTCCGTTCAGTCACTGCCGTCCCACCCCTTTCCGTGGTCTCCTGTCCTGCTGAATTAATTCCTCCATGCTGAGCAGTGTCCTGGAACTGGCTGTGTGTTTTTTGCAGAAGAAGATATCAAATTGAACAGCACTCTGTTCCTCTGGCCCGATCAGATTGAGGACATCTTTGAGAACAGCCGAAACTTGCTTCTTAACAAGAGGGATCAAGCGGAAATGGACCTGATTAAAAGGTAGTGAGAGCATCTGGAGGTGCAGGGAATTGAGAACCAGCTTCAGAACCCACACTACAGAGTCCTGCTTCGTCTAGAGCGCCCCACTCCCACCCCGGGAGTGAGTGGGTGAGGGCTGGAAACTGCTGAGAAGGCATTTCCTTCTGTTTGCCGCTGAGGGATGCTGCCTTGAAGCCTACTTCACTGCCAGTATCTTTCCTCTGTCCCTTGAATGATCAGAATTTGGCAGAGAAAGAGAAAAAGGGCAAAAAATGGTGGAATGTGATAACAGCCTCCACAATAATACAGTAATAGCAAAAGTGTCGCCTCATATTGGAGACCATGGATCTGTAAGATAGCAAGACAGGAAAAATAAAAGCATGCAAGGGGCTGAGAAATTGCCTGTCTCACAGCTGGTCTTGCTAATGTGGCTAGTACTATTGGCTTATCCATTATTTGTCAGTTTGAGGACTTCTCTTGTGGACGTTTCTGTCTGTTTGAGGCACGTATGTGTGTTTACCTGCTAAAGGAACATTTTAGTCCAATGACAAGAAGAAATATAGATGTACGGTACAATCTGATAATGTCACGTGAAGGGATCCAAGTGCCATGCACACTGCACGTGTGCGCGCGCGCACACACACACACACCAATTTATAGCACTTTGATTATAAGCTGCAGATTCACACCAATCTCCATTTCCTCTTCACACAGGAAACTTCCCGCTGCCCAACTTTAGCTACCATAATCCCTGCAAGTACAAGAAAGTAAAAGGGTTGATAAAGTAGGATTTCTACACAGAGTGGTGATTTGGGCTGACAGGAAATAACATTTAGTTCCTACCTTAAAATATGGCCTAGAGAGAGTTAGAAAAATGTGCCTATTTTGCTTCGTACAACCTTGTCTTCCCTAAACCTAAATGGATGCTTTTCCTAGAACCAAGAACTTCAGATGGATGAAACTGACATATGTTTAAATTTATAAGCTATTTTAAACCAATTTTAGATTTACAGCAAAATTGTGCAAAAAGCACTACGGGTTCCTATATAGATACACAGTCTTCCTCATGGAAGGGATTTTCATGCTTAGCCAGAAAACAAAGCAGTTTTCGTTACGTAACTGAGCAAGAATGAATTTCATCGTCTCTGAGCCTGTGTCCCTCACCCATGACCTGGGATACCATTAGGCCCATCAGACCGAGGACTGGAATGAGAACAGAGGCTGAGCTCACACGCAGGTACCGCCAAACTGTCAGCTTCCTCTTCTCTTCTAGGGAAAGGATGCTTCTTCACTTTCAAATCACTGCTTTTTAAGTGTGCCTGAGTTGAGCGGGTGAGAGTTGGCCTGGGGGAGGCAGGAGTAGTGGTCACCTGGGGCGAGAGAAGCGTGTGCGCCTGTCTGGTGAGGGCGGCTCTCAGCTTGGCCCACGTCTGGCTTCCAGCTGCTAGCAGCACAGGCCGACAGAAGAGCCATTCTGGAAGAGGCTCTGCAGGGCAGCCCAGCCTCCGCCCTCTCTTAGGGGGCCGTAAACACCCACCATATCCATCCCTTCACAGTAATGTTGGAGAACCCGTGAGGAGGGCTGACATTTGTCTGTATTCTGTGAAAGTGATCTTGTTTCCTTTTCAAGGAACTGACCTCATTTCTCTGGCTCCTTAACGCTTTGGCTTCAGTGCCCAGCATTCTTTGTTAGCCGCTGCCGCCACCACCACGCCCTGCAATTCATTCTCCTCCCTCTCAAAGGGACTGACACTCAGCCTGTAGCTTCTTGTGTTCTGCTCTGTTGGCTCCAGGTTGGACTGTGCCAATGGGGAGCTCGGCAGGTGGCTAGACACACACACACACACACACTCAGGGGGCCGTAAACACCCACCACATCCATCCCTTCACAGTAATGTTTGACCCTTCCTAAAGGATGTTGCTGCTTACTGCCACAGCCCTAGGGTCAAACAGCAAGCCATGCCTGCTCCTCCACAGTGCCAGTTCTCAGCCCTCGGGGTCATAAAGTCTTCCTTTCAAAGCTAGTCTCTAGTGGCCTCACTATCCACTATTTGTTCTTTTAACCCCACTCTGTAAGAAGTCCTTTCAGTAAAGTACCTTTCTTTGACTGTCTCCTGAGTTCTGCTTCTTGTGAGAATTCTGGCCAACCTACCATCCTGGACTCCTTCATTGTCCTCCCTTGGACTCCAGGAGGTCACACAAGTACAATCTACTTACTCAACCTAATTTCCTGAGTGTACTGCTACATGTTATATATTACATGTTAGATATATGAGGATGGGTAGATCTATATATGACATGAAAGTACTTCATTGCTATATGAAATTAAAACCAGTAACAATAGTAATGTTTTAATGTAATCACTACGCTTATTATATATCATTGCTTTCTGCAAAAAAGTAACTACTTTTATCAGACATTTCTCCTTGTATATAACTAATATTTGTAGCTTCAGAAAGAACTTTGTTAACATGAAAAGGCACCTTGTAGCAATTAACTATGTAGACTACGTGAAAATTAGTGTTGCCCCTCCTCCCACTTTGTCCAATTCATGGTGGGCTCCATGATCCTAGAGTGATCTGGACCACAAGTGACACAGAGCTTAGGATGTGAGCTATTTTCTGCTCCACGGTGCAGTAAAAGGCCTTTGGTTACTTGAGAAAGGAGGGCAGCTCTTTTGGGGAATGCACCAAAAAGAATTTGCCTCACCAAAGCACAGTGCCTTGCACATGATAGGTGCTCAGGTGTTTGATGTTGTTGTTGGTGGTGTTTTTGGTTTGTTTGTTTGTTTTTGAGTCAGTGTCTTTCCAGGCAGGTCAGGCTGGCCTTGACCTCACTTTTTAGTTCAGGCTGGTCTCAAACTTTCAATGATCCTCCTGCCACAGCCTCTTGAGTGCTGGGATTACAGGCTTGTGCCACCACGCCTCATAGGTACTCAGGTTTTATGAGTGAAGGAATGAAGCATTTTCATAGCAAGCTTAGTTTTTGAAATTAGTACCTACTAGAATCTAAAATCCAAGCTTATTAAAAAGCAAAACAAAGAAGACAAGGAATAGAAACATAAAGAACAAAGACAGACAACCACTCATAATGCCTATGAATGTCTAAGATTGGTCAGAAACAATCGAGGGAGGGAAAGAATTGCAGAGGCTACCTTCCTTTTCCACTTTTTAACTCCTATCTGCATTCCTCTTCTCTGAGTACACAGAGGACAAAAGGGATAAATTAGTCACTTTTCCATCCCAGGGCCACAGTAGTGACACCCACATCAGAGGAAGAGTGGTTCACTTGGTGCACAGCAGGGTCAGTCTGTGGCCAGCTGGGTCTGAGGCACAGGCAGTATGGCAAATGAAAGCTACTCACTGGTGTAGCCTGAAGCAGAGAAAGCAGGGTGAGCTGGGGACAGCGCTGCAGCCTCCCAGGTCACACACCAGCAGTGCACCTGCAGCAGGCCCCACCTCTGAACATAGATGCTTGGGAGCTTTTCGGGTCTAAATGGTAGCAGAGGCTGTGGTGCATGCTCTCAAGCGCATTGTAATCAAGCAGGGAGGTGGAAGATCAAGTGGGCAAATGTGGAAGCCCTAGGAAGAAAACAAACAGGGAGATGTAATCATTGTTCAGTCTAGTGAGTGAATCAAGGAAGAGCTCATTTCAGAAGAGACTGCTGATGGGAAGAAACTGGCCAAGTATGGATGTGCAGAGGGAGGCAGTAGTTGGTACCCAGGCCAGACAGCATGGTGATGGCTCCAAGGTGGGGCGACACACCCGGAGGGGGACAGTGGCTGCTCAGTTGGGGTTACAGAGTTAGACCTCACACTGTAACCTTAAGCTATGGTCACAGTGTAAACTAGGATTCCTTTTTAAGTATCATGGAAAGTTATTGAAAATTGTAAATCTTTTGAGAACCAAAAAGATCTATTTTTTTGCTTTTTAAGACCCACTTAAATCAGAATCCAAATAATGTCTAAAACACTACAATTGATTGACATGTTTCTTAAATTTCTTGTAGTCTACAGGTTCACCCTTTGCCCGATTTTTTCTTGAAATTTATTAAATAAACTGGGTCACTTGTCTGCAAATCTAGACTTTACTGTTAGCACTTACATCATGCCATTTGATATGTTCTCTAATCCTCCATATTTCATGTAAACTTTTAATAACTGATTGATTTTCTACTGCTATAATTTATTCCTGTTCTTCTACTCTTATGGATATTTGGAAAAATAAACTTTTCTATAATGAAGAGTATAACATGTAAGTCCAAAGAAAAAGAAGGCCAAGTCAGCCATACTGATATCAGATCTAGGCAAAGCCATTAGTAGATTGAAAGTGGTTATTTAGATGATTGAAATAAAGCAGTCCTTAATTCTTGCATATCAAGTAACATGAGTGATGAATAAAGTGAAGCTTAAATGAGGAGAAACTAAAGTAAACAATAATCTTGACTTGGGGGTATACCTCGCTCCGTCTCCCCCCCATATCCCCTCCCTCCTCAAACATTCTGCCCTACTTTAAAAAGAAAAAAAAAAAACTATTCTTGAGTGCCAGTAGGACATTTACAAATGTCAGTCACATTGTATGACTCAAAAAATTGTAAGAAGTAGATGTATTAGTTATCCTTGAGGCACAACTAAACACATCAGCTTAAAACAACAAAAATTAATTAGCTCAGATTTTGAGGGCCAGAAATCCAAGTGCAGCTTGGCCGTCTGCCTCGGCCTCAAGGTCTCATGAAGGTAGAGGCAGAACGTCTCATCTGCAGGCTCAGCGGAGTGGGCGCCAACCCTGGGCTCACTACATGACTGTTCGTAAGACTGTGGCTCTGGCTAGCAATGCTGCCTGCTCCCTGCCTCTAGAGCCTCAACACGTGGCAGCTCTCTTCCTCCAGAGCCAGAGAGACACTGAGAGAGAGTGAAAAAACAATGTAGAAGTCAGCCTTTTTGTAAGAAATCTTGGAAGTGATACCCCATTCCTTTTGCCATGCTGAGTGTCAGAAGTGAGTTACTACATCTAACCCACACTCAGGTGGAGTTGGTGGCGTAGGTGATGCTCCTCAGTGATCACATCCGAGCCTGCTTCCCCGAGGTACAACTAGACATAAGACGCAAATTGAATCACTTGGAAATCAACTCAATTACTTAAGGATAAGATGAAAACTGGCATGACAAAATTATTTATTTGTGAGATAGTAACCAGATTTATGGAATGTCACTAAAGTGGTTCTCAGTGGCAAATTCTCTTATTCATTCAGTGAACATAGGTTGGTTGTGCCAGATACTCTGCTAATTACAGGAAATACAAGGCATTAAGCAGGCAAAAACTGCATTTACAGATGTACATTCCAACAAATACAATAAGAGCAAACACTTGTATGATTATGATGTACCACACTCAATTCTGAGTATTTTAATGATATCTTTGCTATTGAGTATTCTTTTTCTGTCTGTATTTTATACATTTGAGTCATAAAGAGTTTAAGTGACTTACCCAAGGCCGCATTCCTATTAAGCAGCAATGTAGGCATTTGAACCAAGCCTACCTGGCTCCAGATTGCCCACTAATCACTATAGTATTCTATTCTACCTAATAAGGAAAAGAGAGAGGTAAATTGGACACTGGTCTTCTCAATCATATGGATGAAATAGTTAAATGTCTAGATAAATTAGATAAATTTCTGGAAAGGTATACTTTGATCACTTTAGGTGAAGTACCCTGCCACACAGTTATCCACTCTTTCTCTTCTTTTTTTCTTTTCCTTTCTCTTCTTTCTTTATGTACTTAGGATTGAACCCAAGACCTCACTGACACATGCCAGCCAAATGCTGTACCACTATGCTACATCTTCAGCCTTGATTTTCTATTTTATTTTCTTTAGACCATTTATCATTGTGAAAAATACCTCATCTGTCTTTATACTATCTATGAATTTGTTCTTTCATCCATCCATCTATGCTTGTTACCTAGGCTTACCCCAGCCAAGACACATGCTCCATGAAGGTACTTTACAAGTATATTTGTGAGCCTAGAGCACTTCTGGAATGTATTAGGTACTGAATAATAAATATCTAATGCTAAAAGAAGAAACAATATTGTACAAACATTTAAATATGCACTTACCTGTACAGGAAAACATCTGGAAATGTTTAAATGCCCATGAAACTCACAGGTGACCTGTCTCTACTAGATGGAATGTTAGGTAGTTTAATTTACTTTTTAATCTTATTTATTTTTTTGTAGAGATCAAAGATTGAGTGATAGAGACAGAGGAGATGAGAAATGAAGGTACCAGAAAGTCACGTTTCCCCCAGAGCACGCAAGGTTGACACTTTGGAAGAACACAGAATGGAAAGTCCAAAAGTGACTGGGCTGTTTTCACTTTCAGATGCTCAGAGTTTGAGTCACGACTCGAAAGCTACAGCAAGGAATTGGAAGGCTTTAGGAAGCGCGAAGTGATGACCGCAGAAGAAATGAAGCACAATGTTGAAAAGCTTAACGAGCTTTCCAAGAACCTAACTCAGGCGATGGCAGAATTTGAGGTTGGGACCTTGCGATGGGGACTTAGGACTCTGTTCTAGCCTGGTGATTCTGAGGGTTTTTTTTTATATGAAACAAAAAAAGAATTATGCTCGTAACTTTCATACAACTGACGACATAGAGAGCAGTAAGATTGTCATGCGTGGCACATGTACACACATCAAAAAGTGTCATCAAATTAAAAAACAAAACGAAGGATCAAGAACAGTGGTCTGAAACCTACTCATAGGATTTTAGGATTTAACAAATAACAACAAGAGCTGTGAGATTTCAGACCACAGCAGTGTTGACAACAAAAAAATGATAAATGCATGAGCACATATTTTCACATTAAAAACACTAAAAGCTACATAACAAAAATCCAAACCTAAACATTAATACAAAAAAAGAAAAAAACATTCAAAATCAAGAAGCACATCAGAGGTCAAATGATCTATCAATTAAATACCTATTTTAAAGAACTATCTAGAACACAACACAAAAAGTGATATTTACAATGAGATTCCTTAGTTTTCTTATATACTTCTCTAGAATTAGAAGACAATTTATCATTTAACAATGGTAATGTGATTTAAACGACTTTTTCTTTAAAATAATTCCATAATTTGAGTAATGTACACGTGTTTGTTTTATAGACATATTCCAAAACTAAGATGTATAGTATAGAATACCTTTTCTTATTTTAGTACATGATTTCTCTAATTTCCCCACATTCAAATTGATAGGGACAGCATCTACACTGAATTCTAATCTTGAAGAAAATTTATTTCTAAGTCAATAAGCCATAAAGCCAGGGCAAAGCATTATTTATTTTTCATGAAAACCGTTGTGCTCCTGAGGCACAAATCATAGAACTATTGAAATTACCAACAGGACAAAACTATGAAATAAACCAATCAATTGATAGATGAAGTCTTGTACATCATATTGTTGGATTTTACTACCTAACTCACTCTACCAGTCTATTTCCTTTAATTGGTGAACTGAGTCTATTTACATTGATGGTTATAATTAAGATGTACTGACTTATATTTGACATGTTATTTACCTGATGTTGTATACCTCCTTTTCTCCTGTGTTTCATTATTTGCCCTACTTGGTGGGTTCTTTCCCTTCTCATTCATGGAGTTGTGGTCATTTTGATCCTTCTCTAGAGTATTTTTAGTAGTCTGTGTAGGGTTAGCTTCGTTGTCATGAAATTCTTTAGTTGTTCTTTATCATGAAAGTATTCCACTTCTCCATTATACTTGAAAGGGAATTTTGCAGGGTATATCAGTCTGGGTTGGAATTTGTTTTTTTGCAAGACTTGTAGTGCTTTGCTCCATGGTCTTCTTGACTTGATGGTTTGTAAAGAGAAATCTGCTATTATTCTGATGGCTTTTCCTTTAAATGTGATTTTTTTTTTCTCTAGCAGATTTTAGTATACTGTTCCTGTGCTGAATTTCTGGGATCTTGATTATTATATGTCTGGGTATGGTTTTAATTGGGTTGATGTTATTTGGAATTCTGTATGCTTCGGTTAATGAATGTCAGATTGTTTCCCCATATTTGGGAAGTTTTCTGCTATTAATTCTGTCCATATTCATTTGATACCATTTGTATTGACTCTTTCTCATTGATGCCTATTAGTTTTACGCTGTTCATCTTTGCATCGTCTTGCAGATGTTGAATTATTTTTTCCTGCATCCTAGTTATTTGTAAGAACTCTTTTCTTGCCTTTTCACTAGCTGCAATGGTGTCTTCAAGGTCTGAAAGTCTATTTTCACTTTTATTCAGACGGTTTTGCCAGAGTGTGATTGAGGCTTTAATTTCCTGTACATCTCTTTGAATCTGCTTCATGCATTCTGTTTCTTTCCTATATTGCTCATTCAGGGGTTCCATATTTTTTCTATTCTCCTCTATTTTTTGTCAGTGTCTTCTTTAGAAGCACATAGTGCTTCTTTCATTATAGTTATCCATCTTTTTTACTTCAAAAATTCTTTTTTTTTATTTTAGAGAAAGCTCCACAGGGTATTCAGGGTCTCACTACTAGATTGGACGCATAGTGAGCCACCTGTTTGCAGCCTCCCAAGAGCTGGGATTACAGGTGTGTGCCACCATGTGCAGTCTCAATTGCTGTCTCAGTGCACCCCGGGGGCGGGGGCAGCACAACAGGCCCAGGGATTGAACCCTCGGCCCCTGCTCCTACTTGCAGGTGCTGTAATCCGCTGAGCTATTTGGCCAGTCCTAGAAATTATTTCTGATCTGATTTCCTCTATACCTTTCTGCAGCTGTTTCTTTACTTCAAACGCTATTATTTCAGAGATTTCAGGTGTGTGACTGCCAATTTCTTCTACGCTATTGTCTCCTGCATTTGTCCTGTGTGGGCTTGGGGCCTGAGAATGCATTTCACTACTTCTCTTTGTCATTTTGTATAGCACTGTCTTCTGACCTTTGGAGTAGAGCTTTGGTAGAGTTATGACCTTAGCACCAGGTCTGGATCTACCAAGTTCTAACTTGTCCTGGGGAGTGTGGCTTGGGTCTGGCTACTGTGCTCCATGGCTTCCTGCTGCAGACCTTGGAGGTGAACCTGCTGTGCTCCTCTGGCAAGATGTTCAGTTCCTGGATTACCTGGGTGGGTCTTGCTTCTAGCCTCTCTGCAGAGAGTTCTGCTGCAGGCTTCCACACCTGGCCTGTCTGGTGGAGGAAGTTCCGCACACAAGCCTGGCCTGGGTGCTGGCTGGAATGAGATCTGGTGGGCCCTGGGCTCGATTCTGAGTTTTGACTTTGTCTTTTCCCAGTGACACTGCCAGGTAGATACTGTTGATTGGTTTCCATTACTTTTACTGGTACAGTACTTTCAATTGCTTTTTTTCATACTCCATTACAACAGATTTTTTTTTTTTTTGCAATCACTGTGTACACAAAAACAAAATTATAGGGTAACTGCTTACATGTTTTGGCATTTATTATGCACTCAGTGATGTGTCTCATGTGCCATATTGTATTTTCCTTAATGCCTGTCGCAAACCTGTATCATTAGTTATCCCTGTTTATGCTTATTTAAAGCAGGAGATCTAGGCTTAGAGATGCTAACTTCCCCAAATGTCAGCCACAAGCTTTTAAGCATGAAGGTTCTGAACTTGGAGGCAAGGCTGCATATGAAGGCTCACAAGCAGTCACATAAACAACTAGAGGACGTGTGGAAACTATCCTAATGGAGACAGCACACACGGGGTGGGTGCCCTGGGAACAAAGAGGGCGGGGAACAGCAGACTGCCTTACCGCTCCCACACTGAGCTGCCAGAGCCCTCAGAGGCAGCTGAGGGATCTTCCAACTGTGGTCCTGGCCTTTTGTTCCTCTGGTACTCTCAAAATAAATGAGCATTTTCTCCACTTACTTCTTAAGCTAATGGAGAGTTCTGGGGTTTGAGAACTAGTTGCCCAATAGACAGCACCCTCTTTGTCCTGCAGCTAATCAATAAGGAGGAAGAGCTGTTGGACAAGGAGAAGAGTACCTTCCCTCTTCTGCAAGCCCTAATAACCAACAGGGTGCCCTACGAACAGCTGTGGGTGACGGCCTATGAGTTCAGCACTAAGTCGGAGGAGTGGATGAACGGTACGATGTGGTCTCATTCTGCTGGGACGGAGTGGAAATGGGGTGGGAGATCCAGCCAGCCAGCTCTGAAATAAGCTTTACTCTTTAGAGTCTGTCTAAACTTTTCATCAAATTTTGGCACCCTGGATTAAGACAGCCGCAGTCCAAGTTGTCTAATGCAATAATAAAGGAAGCTAGAGATCAAAGACCTTGATAGACCTAGACCTTGATAAGCATGAGGACCATGCCTTTTGTTCCAGCTACTTGGGAGGCTGAGACAGGAAGATTGAGAGTTCGAGACCAGCCTGTGCTACTTAGTGATGCCTGTCAAAAAAAAAAAAAAAAAGGAAAAATTAAGAAGGACTGGGGATGTGGCTGAGTGTTCCCTGGCTTCAATCCGAAGTATCTCTAAGGCGAAGGAGGAGGAGAAATGGAGAAAGGGAAGAGAGGGAGGGGAGAGGAAGGAGATCATCTCCAGATAAAATAGAATCAGCAGTGCCCAAAACTATGGGCTGGCAGTAACTCAGAGCGGAGAGTAGGGGGGTAATCTGCTGTTCCTTGGGGGTACTGCATAAGAAGAAGCCCCAGTCACCTGCAAACTTCCTTTTACTAGAAAGGGAAGGAATCCATCAGCCTGAGTGCAGTGCGTTTGAGGTGAGTCATTGAGGTGTAAGTGCGGAGTTTAAGAGACGGTTTGGGAGATGTGATCTACATATTATGTGATGGGGAATAATCCATGTGTAGATTACGATTAAAGCTGAGGATGATGTCACCTGGGAGACATGTTTAGGAACTGAAAATAAAATCTGAGCCCCCTACCTTTGTTTTTAGTGCTTCAATAGTATAAATATACCCGGTATGTAGACTTTACTGCTGATACAACTCTGGATGCAACCATGATTGTTTCCATTAAACAAAGTCCTAAAACCCACTGGGTAGAGGTACACACCTACAGTTGGAACTTAAGAGGCTGAGATGCAAGGATGGCAAGTTCAAGGCCAGCCGGGGCAGCTTAGTGAGACCTTGTCTCAAAATAAAATTTAAAAAGTGGAGGCTGGGCTGAAGGCCTGGGGACACAGCTCAGTGGTGGAGCGCTTGCTTAGGGTTCAATCCCCAGTACTGAAAGAGAAGGAAAAAAAAGTTCCTGAAGTGAAGCAGCTAGCCCAAAGTGTACATTGTTAAATTACTAGCATTCTAAAAATATTTTTATTGTTGTCTTCCAGAAAGGCTGTTTCAGCACAATCTTCTAGCAGTTTTTAGGAGTGCCTATTTGTCATATTCTCAATGAAACTGTGACCTAGCAGCTCTGAAAGGCAGCAGAACTCTGGGACAAGTCAGCCTTTTCTCTTGAGGTGGTGTTTAAAATGCTGCCTTTGTTTTTATTCTTTCCTGTGACTACCGCTGATGCTGACTGTTTATTGAGAGTCCGATTCCTGTTTCCTAAGCACTGCGGCAAGTGTTTCAGGCTGAGAACCGCTGAGTCTCCCCAGCCTGCTTCACTGCACAGAGCTGAGCCAGCCTGTCCCCGAGAGCTCGCCTTTGTGTGGAGACAGTGAGGCGGCAGTGCTGCCTCAGCCGTGCGTCCCGTGGCAAAGTCCCGCAGCATCTGCCGTGTTTCGGGTGCATAGACTTACACACGTTTCTTGTCTTAATTTTTTGATTACTCAACAAAAAAGTGAAATTGGGTGAAGTGGCACTTGTTTTAGTCTCAGATACTGGGAAGGTGGGAAGGTCACTTGAGCCCAAGAGTTAAAGACCAGCCTAAGCAACACAGCAAGATCCTGCCTCAGAAGAGAGACAGGGAGGAGGAGGGAACAGGTGAGAGAAGAGGAGAGAGGGAGGAGAGAAGGGGGAGGGGGAGAGCTGATGCAGCGCACTAAGTAAATGCGGCTGTGCTTAGTTGAGGCAGCCCTAAAAGGAAAGCGTTTGAGTAAATTAACAACATGGAGATGCAAGTTTATGCTAATTTGAAATATTCTAGGGAAAGCAGTGGCGTAGAAAGGTTTTGGCTGAACATGAAACCCAAATACTAAAGATTCTCTGTAAAGGAAAGCAGGGGCAAGGGAGAAGGAAGCTGCTGCTTTGTTTTTTTTTTTAAAAAACACTTTTTTTTAAAAATTTTATTTATGTGTGTGTGACCAGCTCAGCCCACCAGGGGGCAGGGCTGGCTGGCATGTGGTGCTGGGGGATTGAACCGTGGTCCCTGTGCTTTGCTAAGCTTGTTCTAAGTAGGCGCTTTAGACCACTGAGCCATCTCACCAGCCCCAGAAGCTGCTGCTTTGGTTTTCCTTTAAAGAAAGTATCATTCTTTGTGTTTTAAATAATTGCAGAGAAGCCAGACATAGCTCAGCGACAGCAAAAAGTTGTGAGCTTGATTCTTGATTAAATCAATAAATAAATGCAGAAAAGTTGCCAGAACTGTGCAGAGCGCTCTTCACCCACCTTCTGCAGTTACTATTTCCCTGTGTCTATGGAGCTCATTCTCCTATTGAGACAGCATTTAAAACTAGCAGTGATTGGCGCCCTAACTGTAACCCACCAGGCATGCTGTCAGCTGCTCTACTTATGCTGTTTCACTTCATTGTCACCATTACCCTTGGAGGTGTCTGTGATCACCCCTGTGTCACAGATGAAACTACTGAGGCCTAGAAAAGTTCGGCAACATGCCCACCACTTTCCAGTAGTTCTGCGGAGGTTGTAAATCCAGATGCAAACTCAGAGCCCTCCCCCGCCCCTTTTTGGTACTGAGGATAAAAATCCAGGCCTTCACACTGAGCTTTGTCCCAACCCTTTTTATTTCTGAGGCCAAATCTCACTAGTTGCTAAGTTGCCAAGCTGGGCTCAAATTTTCCATTCCCCTGCCTCAGGCTCCTGGAGTGCTAGGATTACAGGAGTGTGCCACTACACACAACTGGTCTGTGCTTGTCCAGTCCTGTACAACTGGCAGTGTTCTCAGTCCTGTGAATTACAGGTACACAGGACAGACATGTTCTTGTTTGCCTGACCTTATTTCCTCTTCCTGTCTTTTGTATTCCAGGTCCCCTCTTTTTGCTGAATGCTGAGGAAATCACAGAGGAGATAGGAAATATGTGGAGAACAACATATAAGCTGACCAAGACCTTCGCCGACGTGCCGGCACCCAGGCGCTTGGCAGAGAATGTCAGACTGAAGGTGGAGAAGTTCAAGCAGCACCTTCCCATCCTCAGCATCTCCTGCAATCCAGGCATGAAGGACCGACACTGGCAACAGGTTCCTGTCCCTGCCTGCCTAGGTGGTCCTGCCCTTGCTAGGTCTTGGTCCCAATCCTCATTCCCTTGGGAAGACAGGAAACATTACCAAGTCCAGCTGTGCCCTGTCACAGAAGAATCTGTTCTGGGCCAGAGGGCCAATAATTAGCTTGGTTACTGAAGGAAGGGAGTGGATGGGCTATGAAAGGAACTTCCTGCCTTATAAGCAGGTTGACCCTTTTTGTTGGGGCCCCCTTGCTGGTGCTTGAATATTCTCTCAGCTGCTGGCTACAAAGGGTTTCCTTCTTGGTTTTCCTAAGAAAATGGTCACTGGAGGTCCCAGAAGGTGACAAGAGTGTTAAATTACAGCAGGAAAACCTTATTCCTTGGCCTAGCATACAAAAAACCAAATATCACGTCTTTCCCCAAAGCTTGCTAGTGTCGCCAGATGAGTCCTGCTCAGGCTGTGGTGAAACAGGCTAGGTTCAGAAATAACTTTGCACTCTCATTTCAGCCCTGTGGGCCTACAAATGAGAATAACAAATATCCTCCCTGAAAATAGTTGGGATTTTTATAAACAACCAAGTGTGAGGGTGATAAATGTGGTGTGAACATGAAGAAGAAAGAAAGAACATTCGCTGTTTCTCAAATGATCATCACATTCAAGGTCTAGCAGTGGCCTTGAAGTGCTCTCTACCAGGGAGTTACAGTCTGTGGGGAGGAGAAGAGATGGAAGAGTCTTCTTGGTCTTGGTGTGTCAGCTTTCCATCACTGCAACAAAATACCTGTGAAAATCAACTTGAAGGATGAAAGATTTGCTTTGGCTCACTATGTTAGAGACCTCAGTCTGTGGTTTTAAGTTCATGGCGAGGCAGAAACACTATGGCAGAAGGATGTGGTGAAACAAGTCTGATCACCTCATGGCAGTCAGCGGACAGGGGAAGAAGAGAGAAGAGGAGAGGAAAGAGAGGTGCTAGAGATAAGGCATAAGATAAGACAATGCCAGGGGCCCTGCCCCTTAGCTCAGCTCTTTAAGTGGCTGCTTCAACAAAGTAGTCAGGCTCAGGTTGCTGTGGTTCATCCCCACAACTCAAGCCAGCCAAACCTGCCTTGAAGGCATTCTGAGCAAAAAAAAAAAAAAAAAAAGACAATGCCAACTAGGTCTACCTTCTAAGTTTCTATCCCGTCCCAATACCCCATCAAATTCTGAAGTTATCAGTAGATTAATCCTTATGACCAATCACCTTTCCAAAGCCCTGCCTCTGAACATTCCTGCATTGCTTTCAACATGTGAGCCTTTGGGGGACATTCTGGTCAAATCATAAATACCTGGCCTGAAATTCCCTCAAAACCAGTACAAGACTGAAGGCATAGTCTCTGGAAGGACCTAGTCTGATACATGCAATGCCTTCAAGAGAATGGACCCTTGAGCCCAGAGTCCAGACACGTGTTGATCTGTCCAGGAGAAAGAGGTTGTGGTACTTAAGAACTTCTGGGTTTCTCTGAGAGAGGAACTACTTTAGATTTTCCACAATGTCTTGATATTGGACACCTAAACAAGATAGGGAGAGGTTGTCTAAATAGACCTACAGTCTTGGATCTTCTGGTAAGCGATCTGTAAAGGTTGGCTGTCACCACTTGGTGCATCTGGGGTTCCTCCCCCACAAACATGGTCAGCCTAGATCTTTGACCAGCTTTGGGAGACGGGGTGAGGGCAGCTGGATGGTCTGGTGAACTCTGGTAGTACTGTTTCCCGATGAGATGGCACTAGCAAGAGTGTACTGAATCATACTTAAAAATAATCCAAGAGAGGATCATGCAGATAGTTCAGCAGATTAAAGTGCCTGCTTAGGCAGATGCAGGGGCTGGGGTTCGATCCCTGGGGTATCATGGTGGCCCCGCCCCTGGGGCCTGCTGAGACAGCGATTGAGACTGGGCGTGGTGGTGCGTGCCTGTAATCCCAGCACTTGGGAGGCTGAAAAACAGGAGGATCACTACAAGTCCAATCTGTGTGGTGAGACCCTGTAGACCCTATACTAAATACATTAAAAAAAATAATAATCCAAGGACTCAATTCCCTTTACCTGGTACTTCCTCTGTGATGGTACTGGTCTTGCACACGAGCACTTAAAAAAAAAATCCCACCTATTGCTAGCCCTTTAGAATTTGCATTTATAAATAAATTGGAAAATGATACATTAGAATTATAATAAGTAATAATAATAATGTTCAAGAGCCACTGAGGCCAGTGGCTGCCCACCAGATTATATAGACCCAGGGTTTTGGAATTAGAGAACCAAATGGTTTGCTAACCTCTAAAGGCAATTTAAAAACTAAATATACCAATCTCAGTCCTTTCAGTGGACCAAGTACTGTGTTAGCTCTTTTCTGCAGCTGTGTCATTGTGTTGCTCCAAGCTGTACTGTCAGGTACAAGAGGATGAATGAGAGCCAGGGACAAACAGGAACAGTTGTACATGCTGGGCACTACACACTCTAGCAAAACAATGCTATTTTTGTGCAGTAGAATATGAGTTGTACTTTCTAGAGGGATGAAGTGACCTGTGAGGAGTGCTGGATAAGAGCTTTGGTTCAGAATTGGAACAGGACCCAAATACTGTTCTGCCATTAATTAGCAGAGTGATCTGGGACAAGATCATTCACCTCATTTTTCTTATATGAAAAATGGAATTAATACCATATTAGTATCTTCCTCATTGTGTTGTGAGAATAAAATAAATGCACAGAGTTCTGAAATAGTGCCATACAGTAAGCTCTCAATAAGATGTTAAGTACTGTTGTTATTCCCATGGCCTTCCTGATCCTCCAGGTGTCCTCAGAACTCACTTTTGGAAGCCACTTGGGTTAGCCGAGTCATTCATGCCTTCACTCCATAAGCATCCTTTGGTGCCAACCAAATGTTAGGCACCTAGGACACAGGGCTGAGACAGGCAGAACATGACAAGGCTCCCATGCCCCTTACTGCTCTGGCATCCTTTAATCCTATGGGGCTGGACAGGGGCACAATTGAGCAGGAGGCAGGGTAGAGCCTTTATAGAGCCTCATTCTCCTTCAGTCCCCATGTCCTCTTCAGCATGCAGGACAGATCTGAGAAGTGTCACTTAAGAGATTCTTCACTTCAGATATTGCACAGGAGTGTTGTACTTAGGAGACAAACTTGAGAAAGTATTTACATGAGAGGAATGGGGAACTTCCAACAAGTAGGCCCCGTAGGATGGAAAGGTTTTTGTGTGTTTGTTTGATTCTTTTTTTTTTTTTTTTTTAACTTTTTTATTTTAGGGAAGGGTTTACAGGGTGTTCAGGGTCTCATGACTAGATCGGACTCATAATGAGCCTGTTTACAGCCTCCCAAGAGCTGGGATTACAGGCGCACACCACCATGCCCAGTCTCAATCACAATCCCAGCACGCCCCGGGGGAGGAACCAGCATGGCAGGCCTGGGGATTGAACCCCAGCCCCTGCATCTGCTTGCAGGTGCTTTAATCCACTGAACTATTTGGCCAGCCCTTGTTTGAGTCTTAAAGTTGCAATTATTGGTATACATTAATTGTACAAAACAATGGGTTTTATTATGACATCTTCATACTTGTTTGTGGTGTACTTTCATCACATCCAAGGGCGGATGTTTTGAAGCAGGGAGTCCCTCCTCCTCAGCACCCTAGATCACAGAATTTGGGAGTCTGACTGTCTGGTGGACTCAGGACTTCCTCCCTTCACTCAGCAAATCTTACTTCAGCTTCAATCACAGACAAGGTTTTGCACAGGATCTTGCAGCACAGGGACAGCTACCTGGGGTTATTTAACTGAACTTGAATTAATTAAAATTAAATAAAAATGAAAAGTCGGTCCCTTGGTCACACTAGCTGCATACTTCAGTGCTCAGTGGCCTCTGGGGCTGGTGGCTATAGTACTGGACAGCACAGATGAAGAAACTTGCATCATCACAAGGGTGTCTCTTGGACGGCTCTGTCTGAGACAGCAGATATTTTCCTTTCTTTTTTTCTTTGCAGATCAGTGAGATTGTTGGTTATGAAATAAGTCCCACGGAAACAACTTGCCTTTTGAATATGCTGGATTTTGGATTCGGCAAATACATTGACAAGTAAGGTTTATCCTTTTCTTCTGGAAGGTTTTTGGTCCAAATGTATGTGCATTCCCACCATGAGATGGTTGGCCCTACTGGTCTATTTTCTTCTGTTTTAAGGTGGCTTAAGGTTATTTAATAACCCAACTCCTCCCTGCCCCTCTTTAGCTGTCTTACTGTTGGGGAGGCTCTCGTTTCCAGCTGCAGAGCTCATGACGGGTCAGGGCTAGTAACTGAGTCAGGGACTTTTATTGCAAAGAAAAATATAAAAAGTTCTTTGAACCTTAATCTCAAGCTGTCAGTGACTCAGGGCAAAACCACTCAGCCTTCCTGAGCCTCAGTTTACTTGTCTTTACACAAACAAACAAACAAACAACAAACCAGAAGTATCCCCTGAGCAATAAAGCCCCATGAAATATGGTCTAATAAAAGATATTTTCCCTGTCTCCAAATGCCCCTGGAATTTGTGCATGAGAATTTGTATTTTTTTTCAATTGATATTTTTAGAACCAAAGTCTTAGCAATAGTCTAAGAGTCGTAGAATCCTGTGTGCTGTTTTTACTTCCTGCTCAGCAACAACAGACCAGAGAGATCTTGTGTTGCCAGACTGGAGACCTTGTTAGGTCTGGGTTTGGGTCTAACAGGACATCTGCGGTTCCTAGAGTAAAGGAGTCCTAGCAGCTGGCAGTTGAGAACTCACTAGCAAGGAACATTCTCAGCGCTGCCCCACCCTGAAGAATCCATTCTGGAATGGGCCCTGCTGGCTGGATTTTAACAAGTCCTAAGTCACACATGGTGGCACATGCCTGTAATCTCAGCATTTAGGAGGCTGAGGCAGAAGGATCTCTTTGAGTTCAAGGCTGGGTTACACAATGAGTTTAAGGCAGCCTAAACTGCACAGGGATACCCTGTCTCAAAAAGACCAAAATAAAAGGTGAAATAGATTATAATATTTCATGCTGAAATGATAATATTTTGCATATAGTGTTAAAATACATTACAGAAAGTAATTTTATCTGCTTCTCTTTACTTTTTTAAGAAAATGCGACTGTTGGACCCTAAAATTATGAACATGGCTCATGTCACATTTCTGGTGGACAGAGATGTTCCCAGCAATTGTGGTTGCCCAGTGAAGTCTGAGAACTCCCCCTCCACATGGGGCAGGCCAGGCCTCATCTAAGTGCTTCCCCCCCAAATCTCTGCCACTTGGGTGCTATGATTTCCCTCCCAGTGCCCCCAGGGCACTGACCCTCATTGATGAGCAGACCTAGCCACATGTGCATTTTTACAAGTGTAAGTGGCAGTTTGCCCTCAGTAACTCTGTGAATCAACCAACTGTGAGTTGAAAGCATTTAAGAAAAAAAAGAGTGTATCTATATTGAACATGTATAGAATTTTTCCTCTCTTCCTAAGCAATGTAACAGCTATTTACATAGCACTTGCATTTTATTAGATAGTATAAATAACCTAGAGATGATTTGAGTATACAAAAAAATTCTATAGGTTATGTGCTTATCAATTGTTAATTAAATAAGACAAAACACACACCTTATGACTGTCAGGTATGAGTTAACATGCAAGTGATCACATAGGTGCAGCATTAATTGGTTTGGGAATTCGCAGCACATATAAAGAGTCTTGAGCGTCCTCAAGGATCCACTCAGAGTCCTGGAATGAATTCTCCACTGATAACCAAGACACGTCATTGTTTTGTCCAAAGATCTCATTGTCCCTCAAGTAAGGTGTTTCCAAGAGACATCAACTATTGAATACCTATTCTGCACCAGGGATTTAATACACATTAACAGATTTATCCATAAAAACAACCTAGTGTTCTAACCAATATTCTCACTTTATATCAGGAAATAAACAGAGGTAAAAGGGGTTAAGTAATTAGCCACCAGTCATAGCTATAACTGAAAGAAACAAGAATTTAACATAGGCAAGCAGACTCTAGAGGCTTAACTATTACTTTTTACTCCCTCAAAAGTACATTTGTTTAAGGAGACAAAAACTGTACAAATAAATATGTAGCTACTCTTCCTCTCTCCACGCAGGTGTGTCCAAGAACTGCAAATCTGGAAGCATTGGTGCATTGGCCACATTGTTAAACTTTGTGCATCTTGGGGCTGGGGAGATGGCTCAGTGGAATAAGCACTTCCCTGGCAAGTGCAAGGCCTGAGTTCAATCCCTGGTTCCGCAAAACAAAAAAACAAAAACAAAAACAAAAAACAACTTTGTGCATCTTGGCTTCCTTGTCTGAAAAACAGGAAGAGCGTTAGCTGGGTGACTAGAGTTATTGTGAGAATTAGGAGATAAAGCATTGTCTTTGTGGGTTCCTGGTGCTGTAACAAAATACCTTACATGAGGTAACTTATAAATAGCAGAAAAGTATTGCTCACAGTTCAGGGTCTAAGCACTGGCAGATTCTGTGTCTGGTGAGAGCCCTTAGATGGCTATCCCCTCTTGCTAACCCTTATATGGTGGAAGAGTAGGAGTGCTAATCCTATCCATGAAGGGCGAGCCACTTTGCAAAGGCCTCACCTCCTAAGACCTTCCCATTGGGTGTTGGAAGACTATCCCACCAGGTATTAGGTTCCAATAGATTAATGGAACCCCTTCCAACTCCATTTCAATATATGAATATTTCCCTTTCCAAGAACGTGGTTCCCTAATTTTGGCCATACCTGGTTTTGGGACCCAGGTCCCAATCTAGAAACCAGAGAAAGAACTCTTTTTTTCTTTCTTTCTTTCTTTCTTTCTTTCTTTCTTTCTTTCTTTCTTTCTTTCTTTCTTTCTTTCTTTCTTTCTTCTCCTTCCTTCCTTCCTTCCTTCCTTTTTTCTTTCCTTTTTTCCATATTCCTTTCTGTGGATCAGGGGCCACAGATGATTCTACTCACAGCATCATGGAGGACAAAAATTTTCAGACCATAGAGGGCATGTAATCCAAGCTGATATCAGATCTGGGTATTCAGCAACTACCTATTAATGAGATGTGATTTTCCCTGTATCCCACTCACACCTTAATTAATGCAGCTTTATCCCAGCTTTTAGCTAATGACTTCTCTAGCATATTTGGGTGAGGTCAACTCTTGATATACTTCATGGATTTCCAAATTGATTAAGCTGACACCTCTGCAATCATTTACATTTTAAGTCATGCTTTGGGTGGTTTGCTAGGCACATTGCAAGCCTTTTGTCTTGTTTAATTACACTACCAACTCTATGACATGGACAAATCAGGGCTACATCAGACCTCAGGGCCTTGGCTGTGGCCACACGTCCAGTTAGCACAGAGGCTTCAGGACCCCTTGTCTCATGATCTGAGTTGGCATCTACTTTTCTTAATTAGTGCCTATATTCATGTTCTTTTTGGTCCTCTCCCAAAGACTACCTGAGGATGGTAACCATGCTTCTGAAATCCTGAACAGTTACTGTTTAGAATTATATATACCTGGTTTCTCCCTCCTTCCTGAGGCCACATAACAGTTCTCAGCTCTACTTCATCAGCACATTTTGACTGATCACATGTGAATGGCTCTGTTGTTCCTCCCAACAAGAACGCGAAGGAAGAAACACTAGCTCAGAGGCCCGAGGAGCACATGTCCGGCCCACATCCCGCACTCCTCAGCTGTGTGGCTTTGGACACACCGCTTGCTTTCTCTGAATTTGTTTTCTCACTTGTGAGTAAAGATCAAAGATGGTCTTTCTGTAGCTTAGGATGTGGTGAAAAACAAGAGTCAAGGCTAGGAGGGTAATTCCTGCTTCCTCTTCCAAGAACTTGGTTTTCTGCTTTCTGTGTCTGCACCTGGTTTTAGGACCTAGTCTCCATGTGGAAATAAGAAAGGACTCTTTCCCCTCTTTTCCTTTCACATTCCTTTCTGTCGAGCAGGGGCTGTAGATGGTTCTGCTCAGAAAGTCATGAAAATAGCAGGCATTTTTGCCAAGCAAAGGGATGAGATGGAAACAAAATCCTTCACATAACAGATGTATAAAATATCGATAACAAATACAAATATAGGCAAATGAAGTTTTTGTTTTGTTTTGTTTTTGTGGAACTGGGGACTGAACTCAGGCCCTTGCGCTTGCCAGGCAAGCACTTATTCTACTGAGCTATCTCCCCAGCCCCAAGATTTTTAAAAGATGAACAAAATAAGTCTTTTTTCAGTGACCTCAAAATAGTGGTTCTCAGTGGGGGGAGTTTTCCACTCCAGCATACATTTGGCAACATCCAGAACCACTCTTGGTTGTCACAGTAGGCAGTGAGTTGGGGTGGGTTAGATTGTCTGCTACTAGCATCTAGTGGGAAAAGGCTACGGATGCCACTAAACATCTTGAAATGCACAGAACAATCTTCCATGGCAAAGAATTATCCAGTGTAGCCGCAATGTGTGAGTTCTTACTCATTCACTGTAAGGTCCTAGCCAACACGCCCATACCAAAAGTCAGGTAAATGAGAAAAGCACGACACATTTATTTAATCAGAGTTACATAGCATGGGAGCAATGAAGATCAAAATTTCTAGAAAGGAACTAATTTTACACTTAGATTTCATGAAGCCAGCCATGTATAAATGTGATTGGACAAAAGAATCTATGCTGAGAGAGAAAAAGAGAGGTGAAGAGAAGCCATTTTCTTGGCCTCTGTGTGGTACGATTTTGGAGGAAAGAGGTTCTAACTTCTTTCTTTCTTTCTTCTTTCTTTCTTTCTTTCTTTCTTTCTTTCTTTCTTTCTTTCTTTCTTTCTCTTTCTTTCTTTCTCACCAGGGACCTTGAACTCGTCAGGCATGCACTTATGCCACTGAGCTATCTCCCCAGCCCTGAAGTTCTAGTTTCTATAACCAACCTTGAGGAAGAGAAATTCTGGTTTCTGTGACTCACTATGGGGGAAGAAGAGAGGCCGCAGGAGAAGCACAGAAAGACTTTGCTTCTGAGGTTATTTCTGAGACCATCCGTGCTCCTTTAATGTTCTGAGCCTGCCAAAGCACTGTACTTTGGGGTATCATTCTTTGAGCTTCAGCACTGGCTATGCTACTTTTTTAGGGCTGCAATCACAAAGCATCACAGCTTAACAATAGAAGCTTAAACAACAAAACTTATTTTATCATAACTTAGAGACTTGAAGTCTAAGACCAAGTTGTCCATAGGGCTGTTCTCTTGAGGCCTTTCCTTGGTTTGTAGATACCAGTCATACTGGATTAAGGTCATCCCTCATGACCTCATTTTATCTTAACTAATTCATTAAAGACCCTTTCTTCAAATACACTCATATTCTGAGCTACTAGGGGTTAGGACTTTGACAGAGAAATTTGGGGGGAATACTATTGGACACATAATTCTGCCTCAAAAGCCAATAAGGGAGACACTCTGTCACACATTTGAAGTAGCTGGCAAATCTTAAACATTTTGGTAAAATAAAAGCTGTTTGAAGTTCCCTTAAGACTGAGCTAAAATTCCTCCTTATGAGTTTCTCTGCTTCCTCCTATTGATGTTGATTTTGCCATGTTCTTTCTCCAGACTGGAGCCTATTGGTGCTGCTGCTAGTAAGGAGTATTCCCTGGAGAAAAACTTGGAGAAAATGAAGTTAGATTGGGGCAACATGACATTCAACTTCGTGAAGTACAGGGATACTGTGAGTCTCATCCAAGTGCAAGTGTGCTGAAGCAGCCCCAGTATCCTGGAAGCTCCTCAGTGTAAAGGAACTGAGCAAGCCTCCGGAATGAGCCTCTCCCGGGGCAAGCACAGGCTTCTGTATCCTTCTAGCATTCCTCAGGGCCCTCAAAAACAGACACGGGGTGGACAATGCCACGGGCTTCTCGAACATTTCCATGTACAGGACTCTTCGGGAGATCACCAAACAGTGGGTTCTGACTTGTCAGCTGGAGCTCGGGCCTGTAGTCCTGTAGCTCCAACAAGCCCAGGGACTGGGGCCAAGTTTGAACAGCAGGGATATAGACTTCTTTTCACCAGCACTGCAGATGACATATGAGTTTGTATAGCACATATGGAGGTGTGTAAACCCCTGACATTTGTTCAGCTATCTCTGGGTTCTGACTTATTTTTAGGGTGGGGCATGAGGTAGGGATGAAGGACACTGGGGGAGGCAACAGGCTAATGCACACGTCCTGCACACCGTGGCAGGCAGCCTGCAAGAAGACCTTCATTGGCTCTCTATTCTCCTCACAATCATAGTGTCTGGGCATCTGTATTTTAGGGCCACTTGAGTTTTTAATGTTCAGTGTGGATTAAGAACCAAAACACTAAAAATTACCATATCTTCCTTCTCTCCTGGACTGAATATTGCCCTCCTATGGCTTCTTTCTCCCGTTAGTTTCAGAAGTTGTGATCTTTGATTTCACACTTGGATAAGTGCTATGTTAAGATGTTATATCTGTATCAGGTCCCCATGATAAATGTATTTATGATACACTGCAAATACATAATGAAAAAAAAAAAACTGTGGGTGAACCCAGGGTGACAATGCAGTCTATAATCCCAGCTACTCAAGGGGCTAAAGTGGGGGGACCACAAATTTAAGGCTACCTGGGCAACTTAGTGAGACTCTATCTCAAAAATTAAAAGGGCTAGGGATGTATAGCTCAGTGGTAGTGCTTCTGGATTCAATTCCTAGTACTGACCAAAGAAAAAAGCACATAGATGAGACAGTGAGCCAGAGGAGAGCCAGCCCCACACGAGCTCATTACAGGCCTCTACCAGCACGGCCAGGTCACCTGTTCCTGGAAGCCTGGTTTGCATGGTCTATGGAAGCTATTGGGCTGAGCTCAGGAGTTCAGCTCAGGAGCCTGAGAATAGCTCTGTTATTGCTGGTACCACTTCAGAGTTTTCAACTGAAGTAGCTATAGACAGGGATCTCCAGCAAAATAGGAAGGAAGATACCACTCTAATAAGAACTGGACACGCACCTCCCAGTGCGAGTTACTGGTGAAGGAAGGTGCGAGTACACGTCCTAGGCCTAATGTGGCCACACAGACGTAGGCCTGAAAGGAGCAAAGCTAGAGCAAGAAAGATCAGATTTGACATAAGCTGTGGCTTATGTCACAGTGGCTCGGAAAGGGAAGTGCCATCTTAGGAGCTGACCAGGAAGGCACAGTAAACATACATGGTTCTGAAATATGACCCATCAAATATATAGGATAGAGGCTACAAAGCTATCTTGGATTAGGGTGGCTTTTATGTCTGTTTTTATCATGATACCTATATGCAAAAAAAAAAAATCAAACAACAATGTAATAGCTTTGTTTACAAAATAATTAGCTCTAGGGGCCAGGAAGATAGCTCAGTAGAATAAGCACCTGCCTGGCAAGTTCAATCCCTGGTAGTAGAAAAAAAAAAGCTCTAAACAACTTACAAGTATTTATGTCCCATCAATTTAATAAGTTTTTAAAAATAATACATACAAATAAAAATTTTAAAATACTTGTATTTTATTTCTAAGGAACCACAACAGTTATAATGAGTTGGCTGCAGCACGTGGATATAGGACTAAACCAGTTAGATTATAGCAGCAAATTCTGCCTAGAGGAGAGACCACCAAGAAACCCAGAGGGCCAAGAAGCGGGAACACTGGGAAGGGGCAGATGCCTTCTCCCACATAGGCTTTAGTCACATAACTTTATATCTGTGAAGGTGGTGACAAATTAGTATCTTTAACAACATTTTCAGAGCCAGGGAGATAGCTCTGCAGCATAAGAGCTTGCCTGGCAAGCAAAGGTCCTGAGTTCAATCCCTGGTACCATAAAAAAAAAAAATCACTTTTAAGGAAGAAAATAGAAATCTCATTTATCAATGCCTCTTAGTGGGGTAGAGTTCTGAGCTGTAAGGCTTTCAGAAAAATGGGGTGTGTGTGTGTGTATGTGTGTGTGTGTGTGTATGTGTGTGTGTGTGGTCACTCATGATATTGATGGGCAGTGGTTCTTTATTTTCAGGATACAAACATCCTATGTGCAATTGATGAAATTCAGCTGTTACTCGATGATCATGTGATAAAGACCCAGACCATGTGTGGCTCCCCATTCATCAAGCCGATAGAGACAGAATGCAGGGTGAGAGGACTTCCATGTTCTGCGGTGCACTACTAGCTCTGGGTTTCTCAGGGGAGGATGTTTCAAGTTAAATTAACAAAGAAGCTTACTCTCTCCTGAATGAAAAAGGAGCTTGATAAACTCAAAATAGATCTAAGCAAGTACACAATCCGCCTAAGGACAAGATTTGAATATACCTAATAAAATATATTTAGAAAGTTTCTCATGGACCTAAGTTAATATCAGATAAAAACTACTTGGAGGTAGAGGTTTAGCCTCCTTTGCTCATTGTCTGTAAAGGGAACAGAGACAAGGGTATGAACTTTAGATCAGACTGCCCAGGTTCAAGTTCTGGTTTACAGATGTGTGCCTTGGGCAAGTTGCTTGACTATTGTGTCTTAGTTTTCAATAAAGTGAGATTTATTAATAACTTGTACCCCATAAGGTTGCTGAATTAAATTTGTTTCATATTCATAAAGCACTCAGACCCTCACTTATTATGGAATAAGTGTCATAACTACTCTTACTATTTGTATCTTACCAGAATGTGAGCTCTGTGGGGCAAAAACTCTTGTTTGTTGCATTCATGACTGTATTGACATTGCCTGGAAGAGTGACCAGTGCATAAAAGACACTCAACAAGAACTTATTAAATAAGTGAATGAATGAATGAATGAATGGATGAATTCCTCCATCCATCCATCCATCCATCCATCCATCCATCCATCCATCCATTTGTTCAGTCACTGGGTCTGTGGTGCAGGGGAGCAGCTTAATGATTATGACATGGAATGCTAAATTCACAGAAATGGGAAGAAAAGCTCGTTCGTGTGCAGGAAAATTTGGATGCCTGGTTGAAGTGCCAAGCTACTTGGCTGTACCTGGAACCCATCTTCAGCTCAGAGGACATCATAGCCCAGATGCCAGAAGAGGGCAGGAAATTCGGCACTGTTGACAGTTACTGGAAGTCACTCATGTCTCAAGTGGTAAATTTTACCCCCGACACATGCCACCAGCAGGAGTGTGGGGTCCTGCAAGATGCCCCTCCTCATGCGTGGTGGACATGTCCCTTGGAACTGTTGAGTAAATTGGATATTTTCAAATTTGATATTTTTTTAATTTATTACATTTCAAACAGAAAACATATAACATAGAATACAGGACATCTTGGAAATTTCTTCTTCTTAGAGGTAACTATTAGCAGTTTGCATTATTTAGCTGTCCTTTCTTTTTCTTTTCTTTCTTTTTTTTTTTTCAGAACCAGAGATTGAACTCAGGCCCATGTGCTTGTCAGCAAGTGCTTACTCTACTGAGCCATCTCCCAGGCCCTTAGCTATCCTTTCTAATGAGATAAAAAAAAAACTTTATATCATATAGGATAATGTAATAAAAATTTCATAGCTCGAGAATCCTATTAGAATTTAAGTAATTGCTCACATTGTCACTCAATTATTTAACATATTTAATATCTATAGTGACTCAGGTATTATTTGGGAGTCAGAGGATATTCGCAGCTGATAAGAATATCTCTGCCTTCATAGAATTTGCGATCTTATGAGAACATAAGCTTAAATAAATAAGAGCTATAGCATATATAAAAATAAAATTTATATCTAGGGCTCCAAAGGGCCTCCAAAGACAGGTGACCCTAGAACAAAGCTTTGAAAGATGAGAATTTAATTGGGCATACAGAGCAATTAGGGCATCTCTCAAGAGACCATATTGTGTTCCTTTTAAAAGTCAAATGTATTCAAATTGGGACATATTTACAAGGAATTTGTCTCCAAACAATGCATCTGCCCTGGTTGTTTGCAGGAGTGAGATAAGTGAGAATTTATATGGCCCAGCCAGTGTGCTGTTTGTATTAGTCTCTGATTACAGAAGCCCACTCAGGTACTCAACCAAAAAGATAAAATGAGTATTCCTTGGAACAAAAGGAAAGAAAGCACAGCCAGACCTCCCAAAATGATGACTCTCAGGAATTCCCAAGTCATCTTTCCATACTTCTGACCACGGCTCCTCTTCCCACACCTGCTTCAGTCTGCAGCTGGCTTGCTCCTCCACTTGGTCGCATGGCAGAGGAGCCACACACAGCTCCACACTCCCTAGATGAAGGAGCCACCCCAGATCAGAATGTCGTGACCTGGGATGTAATTCTCCAGCTGTTAAAATATAATGATTCAGCTGCTTTCAGGTCCCCAACCCCTACTCAATCCATGACTGAAGGAATAACAGGCTAAATGAGCACTTGCCTCTGTGGGCTTGGGGATAAGGAGGGTAGGAACAAGGAAGCAGTTAGTTTGGTGACATCTGGCCACCCCTTCAGGCCATGGCCAGTCTCAGAATTTGGGGCGCATATTTTGACTTAACCTTATTTTGGTGGAATCCAGGTGAAAGATCCTAGGGTTCTAGTGGCAGGAGACCAGCCACGGATGACTGAGAAGCTTCGAGAAGCCAACCTTCTGTTAGAGGACATCCAAAAGGGGCTGAATGATTACTTGGAGAAGAAGAGACTATTTTTCCCCAGGTATCTACTATTGTTTTCTTATTGGGAGTTACTGTTTTGAGCCGTAAGTAGGTATAATTACGTTTTCCACACTGGCAATGGGCTTTAAGTAGTTTATCCCCTTCTTGGTTCTCCTTTTCTCCAAGAGGCAGCCTCTAGGAATGGAGCCTGCCTTCATGGTCATTATCTAGTGAGGCTGATGGGAGCCACACTTGGGCCCGTCAATACCGTTACGTCCTTCAGCGAAGAGGATATAGGAGTCATAACTAAGAGCCTGGCCTTCAGAGCTAAGCAGATCTCTTCTGGAGCCCCACACTTTCCACCTATTATTCTTAGACCTTCAGAAAATCTGTTTGACCCTCAGAGTTACCACAGTGAAACTGGGATATAGAAAGAATGGGCTCTTTGTATTTTTGTTGTGCAAATCAGAGAACTAATGTGTGTAAGCCATTTAACACTTAGACATGTTTCAGAAGTGCCAGATAAATTCTTTACCATCAAAATTTATAGTTCTAGTAGATTTATACATATTTGACACTCTTTTCCTCAAAAACTAATGTTCTGAATAAGGGTGAAAATATTAAGGGTTAGTTCCAGAAGGGAGGACCCTCACTCCTGAAAGCTGGTCCATGTCTAGTTCCTCATGGCTCCTCCATGTCATTTGGCCCTGAGCAGAATATAGGTTTGATCCTGACTTGCCTTTTAGGGTTCTTTTAAGTAGAGATAAATTTCCTTCCCAGATCCCCACCAAAAACAGCCAAACAAAAATTAGGAGTTTTTTTGTTTTGTTTTGTAATTCAGAAATGGTCGTGGTATTTGCTCAGTGTTATCTAGCAGAACTTTCTTCAGTAATAGGGGTGTTCTATACTAGTGACTTCAGGTATAATAGCCATTAGCCACATGTTACTACTGAATACTTTAAATACAGCTAGTGTGCCTGAGAAAGTGAATTTTTCATGCATTCAATATTAATTTTTAAAAGTAAATCGCTACTTGCAGCTAATGCTTTCCACATTGAACAGCACAATGTGGAAGAAATTCTGTTGTGGAAGTAAAAAATTCAGAAGAGATTAAGCTCAGGAAATTCCTGAGGTTTGAACTTTAGTTCTATTCTCACTGCTGTCATTATTACTAAAATGCAAATAGCCGACTGCACAATAGCACTTACTTTACAGTAGGACACTGCTCCAAATACTTTATATTTATTAATTTAATTTTGGCAATAAGCCTATGAGGTTAGGAGTATTATTATTAGTATCTATAAATGTGAAGCAACAATTTGCCCCAAACCATAAAATTGGTAAATGGCCAAACTGGAATTCAAATTCAAGAACTCTGAATTCAATACTCAGTCTTTGAACCCTGAGCCACGTTTCCTCCCAAAATTAATCCCTCTCCCTCCCTCAACAGTTCCCCATGTAGTCTTATGAAATAACATTGCTCTCAGCAAACATCTTGGAAATGTTAGTCCAATAATTTAATTTTATATTAAAATACAGAATGGTTACTCATCCATATCACTAAACCTTGTTCATGTTCACACATATTAGATACAAAGGTAAAGCAAATCCATAAAGATCACCCATTCATATTCACTTAGAAGTGAGAGAAACTGACATCCCTATTTGATATTAGTCAGGCAGCAAATAATTATTCAACACTTCATACTCAGTACTTCAAATAGTGTATTTGTTTCTTTTCTTAAGTAACAAACACGCCAAAACTCAGAAACTTAATCAATTATTTAGTTCAGAATCGTGGGTTGGGAGACTGGTCTGGGTGAAGCTGAGTGGCTCTTCTGGCCTCACCCAAACTCATTCACGTGACTACAGCCACTGGCAGCTGCCTGATGGTTGGCTTCCTGTTCACTGGGGCTACAGAGATGGTTGTGTTCCTTGTGTGTCATCCTCCAAAAGTCAGGGAGGTTTATTCACAAAGTGGTGATCGCAGGTAGAACAGCAACAGTGAGAACATCAAGGCCTCTTGCCGCCTGAGCTTGGACCTTGCACACATTCGAGTTCGCTAGATTCTGCTAGCCAAAGTGAGACACAAACCAGCTCAGACTCGAGAGACGTGAAAAAACACTTCAAAGTGAACTTGTTCTGTGTCCCTCACTGAATATGGTGGCCCATTCCATCACTATATTCAGTGAAGACCATAATCACAGGGTTCCTCCTTACAGAACCTTCAGCCTGGTGGTCATAGTAGGAGTTTTAATCTTGTACATTTTTTTGAAGGCTTGCTGTTGCTCCTTTTAGGGTTTGAGCAAGAGATGAAGTTATCTTATTTTCTCTAGTTTAAAACAGTAGAAGGTCTCTGCATGTAAATAGATTCATTACCAGGTACTTTTATTGTTTCACAACTATAACATTTTCTGACAAAGTTAGAAAGAAGCAAAGACAGAGGTGTTTCTATTCTCTTCTCTTCCCCTCCCCTCCCCTCTCCTCCTCTCCCCTCTACTCCCCTCCCC